AAAAAAAAAAAAGAATATTTCAGCAAGCTTTTCTTTGTTACTTCACAGGAAGGTATAATACATTTATTTAATTCATTAACAACCTGTTCACAGGATCTTACAGACTGCTAATAATTACCCTCCCCCTGATTTCCCTCAGAGTGACGCCTGATTTGGTCGTGTATTGTTTCTCTTTGCAAACAGATTCTATGATTCGATTATGCAGTAACGAACATTTTATAATATTTATATCAAATAAAGGCATCCAGTCTAATCGAATTGTCTATTTTGATAAAGTTTGATTCAAAAGTCTCTTCATGTTCAGTATTAAATCATTGGTGTTCCTGTTTGGGTGCAGATTTGACAAATCCAAAAGATATTTCTAATGAAGTTTTATATAATTAAAAAAACAAAAACAATAAAAATGAAAGGCCCCAGTCCAGTAGGGAAAGGCTATATTCTCCCTCTCTCGTCTCCCCTCCATCGCTCTCTCCTTTTCTCCCGGGGCTTCTCTGCTAAGTGGGAGATTAATGCTGATATGATGTCCTGCCATCCCACTTAATGGACCTTGGCGTCATTATTTCCTGTTGTATGAGTAATCCATGCCCAGGCTGGTGAGAGGGCAGGCAGCAAACAAAGCACAAAACCAATTTAGTGTGGATGTTGAAACTCTCATTGTAATGATTTCGCATTATTGAGAAATGATCATCTGGAGATCCGCTAACACGGCCCGCCGCCTGCTTGAAGGAAAACAAACTGCTGTAGACAAAAGTAGAAAAGGAGAATTGTTCGTGGAGGAAAGTGATGTTCTTGTGTGGCTGGAGCGTGAGCGGCGTGGCAGCAGCTGCATCACATGAGTCCAATCGCTCAAAATTCATAACATTCTGTTATCGCGCGGTCGCCCGACACACTGGCGCACAGAAATGTGTGTGGTCACACTTTTCTCTTCATGTCGCCTTGGCAAAAACTTAAAAAATAACAATAATAATACTTTGCAGTGAAGCCTGAGCAACACAACAACAGCCCAACACACCCTGCATGAACTGTTCAGTGTCCTCATTTCCTTCCAGTGCTCCTGGGAATGTCCTGAATCAGTCTGGCCCCTGCTCCCGACCCCGAGCCACAGAGAAACACTTTCTCTGTGAAACCACACAAAAGACGCAGTCAGTGTGTGTGTCGGGGTAAGTACGGTGGATTAACGAAAGATTATCTACCGAGCTGTAAGTAAGCAACTTCTGTGTAGCATGCCTGTGTACGTAGCAGCCCCCCCGTCCCATTCTCAGAGGATGCTGTCATTTTCTCACCACATGGTCACACTGAAGTGCTTCAACGACAAGGTCGGCGCTGCAGAATGCCAAAGATACACTGTAAGGGGGAGCGCTCTCGGGCCAGAGTCCCCCACACAGACACCACTATTACCGCACAATGGTGGTCTGTCTGACGAGACCCTCGGAGCAGCTCGTCTGGGTACATTCAACCCTTAAAACACCACCGGCTGTAATCCCCTTGTTAATGAGCAGAAGCCTGGAAAACAACAAGATCCCATCCGATGGATAAATGTGAGGATAAGTGCAGGGGTCCGTGATGTGACAGCCCATTCCTCATGGAGCTTTAAGAGTAGCTAAAGTCCATCTTCCTATATTAGTCTTACTCATATGTGCAGTCACACTGTCTACAACCCAACTTTATTCAATATATATATTCAATGTTTAATCACATTTACCTTCTTTATCTCCTATTCATGCACCAAGAGGAGGCTTAACTGAGGAGGGGCTTCTCATTAGGCTGCATATTGAGCACTTAGTGAAAAAGTTGAAGCTTAGACTGAGTTTTATTATGGAAATAGGGCCTCTTTTAATGTAGCACCCAGGAATACACTTGTGCAGGCGTTAATCCTAAATATTCTTGATTATAGTG